TCGATCTGGGTTTCTGATGACGTCTTGGCTGGGTCCCAGGCCCCAGAAACCGACGCTAACCCTTATTGGTGTTATACTGTGCCCGGCAGGGGTCCACATGGGTAAGGTTGGATAGCGGGTCCATTTTCAACACCACCCTTTTCAAATTTTCAAGTCTCACCGATAGGATTAGTACCTAAAAAGTATTCGGATAAATTTCGCACTATCTTTCACCTTTCCTTTCCAAAGTCAGGCGTGAGCAGTTTTAATTACTCCATTTCTAAGGAAGATTTTAGCCTGAATTATATAACCATTGACACAGCTATAGGAGGAATCATAGCACACGGTCGTGGTTGCTTCCTTGCTAAGACTGACGTAGATTCGGCTTTTCGTCTTATACCCCTAAGACCATGGCACGTGGGAACCTCATCAGCAACTAGGACAGCCAGGAATTTCTATTGCATGGCAAGAACTGTTTGCCTTTGTTGTTGCTTGCCATTTGTGGGCTGATTTTTTCTCTAACAAGCGCATACGGTTTTTCTGTGACAACGAATCGGTTGTCAATATTGTTAACTCAAAGAGGTCTCGTATCCCAAGAGTTATGGATCTTGTTCGTCATTTAACCCTTCTGACTCTAAGGTTCAATTTTTATATTAGAGCTGAGCACATAGAGGGTAAGAGGAATGACATAGCCGACTCCTTATCTCGCTTTCAGATGAACCGGTTCAGAGAGCTAGCACCTCAAGCCAACCGGGATCCATGCCTGGTACCACCAGCACTCCTGAAGATCTAATGGCAGATATTCAACGCTATCTCAGTCTTTCAGTTGCTGAATCTACACAGCAAACCTATAGTACAGGAGAGAAAAGTTTTATTAAGTTCCTTTCTCTATCTGGCCCTTGGATGCTCAGTCTCTACCAACAGACGAGAATACCTTGATACAGTATGCTGCCCATCTAGCTAAGTCTGTCAAGCATTCCACTATCAAGGGTTACTTGGCAGCAGTCCGTCACCTTCACATTCGCTACGGATATCAGCTTAATCTTCGGAATTTCCTTCGCTTACACCTCGATTGCCAATTACTGTGGCTCATCTCAACTTATTCTATTCCCTTTTAGCAATTAAGTTCACCTCACGCTATGACTCTCTCATGGTTTGGGCTGCTATGATTTTAGCTTTCTTTGGTTTCATGCGGCTAGGAGAGCTGACTTGTAACTCTCAATTCAGCCCTGACACTCACCTTACACCTCTTGATATCATCTTTCACCCATCCCAGTCTAACCCCTCTCACCTCTCAGTCAAAATTAAGGTCTCTAAAACTGATCCATTCCGGGTGGGGCATACCCTTTTTATAGGGAAAACTAATCAGAGTATCTGCCCTGTAAATGCAATGAAAGTCTATCCACCAAAAGGGGGACTACATCTGGGCCACTTTTTAAATTTGCTTCGGGACGTCCCTTGACAAAAGATGCATTAACTGCTGAGACTAGGCAACTTCTTTCCTATTTGGGTTATCAGGCATCGGATTATGCTGGTCATAGTTTTAGAATTGGTGCAGCAACAACTGCAGCCTCAGTGGGTCTCCCCCCATGGTTGGTTAAAACATTGGGAAGGTGGTCATCTGGTATATTCAACGCCCTCCATCAAAACTCGAGTTAGCTTTGTTTACTGTTACAGTTCTAGTGTTTTATATACTGTATATAGTAGTGATCAGCATTCGTTACTTGGGTTTCTTCAAAACCATTCAATGCATTAATAGACGCTTGTCATTTAATACTTTTGTGTTCGTCTATGGGGAATACACTTTGTGTATTTTTGGGGATTAAGTGCTCCCATGCTGGTCACACTTTCACCCATAAACTCATGGCAGCCATTTATTCCGGGGATCGGTACCCCTATAGCTATGTTGCCATGGGAACTAGTGGGATCTCAGAGGATTATCACCTCCAAGAGGGGATTATTACCCCTTCGGCGGCCAAGGGATTATCACCCTTGAGAGAGAATTATCATCTCTCTTTGTCGCATAACATTAGCTTCTGACCAGCATGTTATGTCAACTATTTTTTGCGACTGGAGTGCTCAGTCCCCTACCTCTTTACCCCACCAAGTGTGTTCTTATTGTTGTCCTTAGCTAATGGGTTGATAGCATTAAGTTTAATAGAGCCTACTACTAATTAACTAAAGTAACTAATCCACGAAATAGCACCATGAAACAATTGAAAACAAAACAGATGCTTATGTTAAGTGCTATTTAGTGCTAGAGTAATTTTACTGCGTCTATAAAACAAAGTTGTATTATTCAGTGACTAACATTGAACTAAGTTGGCTTTTCTTTCATGAGGGAAGTAAAATCGATCATGGATATACTATTTGCACACTAGTCTGTAATCAAACAGTAATAATATTCATCACTGCAACTACGCACAAAAATATTTTTCTATTTGCCTTTATTAATCATTCCTTGGGCATCGAATGCAATAATCAATTATTCCATTTTTTAAATCATTCATTATTCATTACCCCGACTTTAACATAACTCGATCGCATGAGTATCGTTAACGTTTGGGCAATCTGTGGGGATTTCAGGATTGCCAGAAATAAACCCGTGAAATGGAAAAAACGACATCGAACGGTTTATGAATCAATAGAACTTGGTTTACTTCTAAGTAAATCTAGTTTCAGTTGTTTTCTTTCGTTTCAACCTAAAACGGTAAGATTGCAGGCAAATTAGTCATGATATCCAGCCGATGCGAGTGAAAAAGTTAGCCATTCAGAATAGAGAAAATTTGCAAAGCCAAGGTGACACTTTTAATTCCTTGTTAAATTATTGATTTCCAGGCCACCAAATGAAACAAATAACGCTGCTAATAAGAGGTTGATAATTTAAAAAAAAATGTTTGTTGCAATAGCGGACTGGGTTTTTTCATGCCCTCAGTTTTGTAGTGACGTCATMACTATTTCAGATCACCTGGACCATAACGCTCACTGTTCAACACTGACCCACTTCCATAGGACGAGAATTATGACTGAAATTCTTTGCCAGCATCTAATTGTAAACGTTTTAATATGGCAACTTACCCTGGCAATTGGCTATCCAGAATTTGATAACAACTTCTCTAAATCTGGATACGTCCTTGTCAGTCACATAACGGAAAATGTACACGCTTCTGGTATTTTTGATTCTTACCTGCAACTTTGAATATAAAAATTGCCACAGCTTTATCCTGCTTGTTAATTTGCATGTATGTGAGCTGAACAATGCCACACATTTGACAAACCCTTAAAACCTGGCCCCATTACCTCATGCCGTCTACTTGGACCTGATTAAAAACATTCCAAAATATGATCACGTGACGTGCCGAGAAAACCTGACTTGTGCGCCAATTGATGATACGTATGGATGAAGTGATTACAGTTAGAATCTATTGATGATACGTATGGATGCAGTGAGTACAGTTAGAAGCTATTGATGATACGTATGGATGAAGTGATTACAGTTAGAATCTATTGATGATACGTATGGATGCAGTGAGTAAGGTTAGAAGCTATTGATGATACGTATGGATGAAGTGATTACAGTTAGAATCTATTGATGATACG